AACCGTAGCAGAAAACATTGTTTCTAAAGTTGTAGATGATGCAGTTAAAGAATATAAAAAAATTAAAAGGAAACAAGGAGCTAAAGCAGATGCGATGGTTCGAGAATCTTCTGAGATGCCTCAAGGCACCTTGTCAGTAAGTAGAAATTCAGGAGGGTTTTTTTTTAGATGTATCTATTTAGGCCTTGCTCTTGCAGTTGGGTAACTGGACAGGGCTTTTGCTTGTCCCGTTGTTTTTTGCCATCAGTAAGTTACATAATGTCAAGAGTCCAATAGTTAGGGCCAAATTCTTTGTGCAAGGGAATCCGGAGTCTGCTCCCTTTCAGCCTCTAGGCAGTGTTCTGGAGGGGAGGGGCATTCCAGAGAGGCAATTAAAGATCAGCGGACAATCTCACTGTGATTCTTGCATAGGCCATGCTCATCCTGACCCATCGTAGAGTAACTCCATCACGTGCAAAGTACTCCTGCGGCCAGCACGTGTGTGGGTGTTAGGTTGTGCATGGAGTCAGTTACAGTTACAGTTAAAACTTTTGTGCAGCATTAATGTACATTTGCTTCAGAGTCAGTAATACTGGAATCTGGTTCTTAGCTTTTATGTAGAAATGTAAATGATCTGGTTCTTAGCTTTTATGTAGAAATATAAATGTCTCTTTAAACATTAGCAAACTTAATACCTCTTAAAATGGTGAAAAAATACAAATGTAAATGTGTTGGGCTTTTCTTTTCTTTTCTTTTCTTTTCTTTTCTTTTCTTTTCTTTTCTTTTCAGCTCCTTGATGCTGGTGTTTTTGGAAGCTCTGAAGATTCTGATCCGCTAAATTCCATCCGGCATGCCAAAGAGATGAAAACTCAAAGGCAAATTCAATACAGATCAGATCACTGGCATTCAGCTCCTTGGAAGAAAACAATGGAAGTTCCTTTGGTGGTACCACCTAATAGTTCACATGTTAAGATACTGTCTGCCTATGCAGTAGATAAACTATGGACTCCTCAAACTATTTGTTCACATTCTAGCAGGATCCATGTGCCAAAAGATTTTGAATGCAATGACATCTCAGATGACGATCTGGAAGGAGAAAGCAAGAGGATTTACAGCCAGGTACTTTTAAAGCATTAACTGCAGTTTACTTTTCCCAGATTATTTTAAAATGAAAATTTCATTTCAAGGAGTGCCTAATTTCAATCTAAGTGTACCTGCTCTCATCATCAGAGAACGAGTCTTCATCCCCAGTGTAATCAGAACTCTTTTTATTACCCTCCAAGAGATGTGGAATTTTGATCAGGTTTAACAAAGATGCCACAATATTTAGTGCACACAAAGGGTATGTCTAAGCTGCCGGCTAAAATCGAGTTAAGATACGCAACATATTTAAATCCCCCGCGGATTTCCCTACGACGACTGGTGAAATTTACATGCCCCTTCCGGAAAAGGGGCCAGTGTAGACGTAGCCCTTGTGAAATGAGGATTATAGAAGTTGGAATAAGAAGCCCGTTATTTCAAAATTGTTTTGAAATAGGCTTGCTGTGTAGATGCGCACTCTGCTATTTTGAAATAAGCGTTCAGTGTAGACATAGCCAAAGAGAGATCAAAATAGGTACAGAAAAATGAAGAGTTAAAACATTATTTCTATTAAGATATTGTGAAATAAAATAGAGATTACACTAATCTGAGACAATTATTTTGTTTGTCTGTTGGGATGTATACAAAATCAACCTGTTTTTCCGATCCTTTCTGTTCACTATTACATACAAAAGAGCAACAATAACTAAACCATTCATCGAAACCTTTTGGGAACTGGGTTTTGGTTCTTAAAAGGATTTGAAACTACAGACAGAGGAATACTTCTTTTTAGGGTCAAACAAAGATTTTTATTTTTCTATTTACTTTATAATTAATTTTCCATTTAAATCAATTCATTATCTTTGATTCTTTTAAAACAGTGTAATATACAAATAAAAAGTAGAAAAACAGTAGAGTTAAAAAACAAGAAATAATATCTCCTCCTACAGATATATCCTCCAGATTTACCTTTAAACAATTTGTGGAGTTATCAAATATATAATACTTACATTAAGAAAGATAGAAGCATTGTTTAAATTCAGGAGATATTCTTTTCTTTATGTGTCTCCTTTTTTGGATTTTTATTGCAACTTATGACCGGTGTTGTTCCCCTTTCGGAGATTATGTGCGGCAGTGAGATTCAGCATCGGGGAGGGAGCCCTGGTTGATCAGACCTAGCTTTTTGGATTCGCAACCCGTCCGTTCTTGGTCTGTTCCATCCAATCTTATATACCCTGTTTCGGTATTTTAGTATTCCTCCACTCACCTGACAATTGCTGACGTTAGATTTTTGTTGTCTCGTTCTGCCCTTTCAAAACTTTTGTTTGCTCCATTTGGGGTAATTAGCACTTTGTTGCATATTGCTGTTTGTGTTACTTACTTCCCTAAAAGTGGGGTTACTGTTGTTCATCCAATCAAATTTCGTCTTTTTATCGTACATCTCCTGTATCTCACAATGCTGCCTTTCCTTTCCACTTACAATTAAACTGGTGCTCATTTGACATATTCTGGGTAGGTCTCAACACCTTCCTTTCACCAAACCAAACTAAACCAAGCATAAGTAGGTGCTCAGATAGTGCTGGGCTGCTAGAGATTAGTATTAGGGTTCATTTATTCTATAGATTATTGGCCACCAGAGGGTGGCATAACCATACCCACTTTAGAGATGTCAGAAATCCAGACTGGGTGTGGCAATCTTGCATTGAGTCTGGAGACTCCAAGGCTGTCAGTCTGGCCCTCTTTCCCAGCCCTAAATTAACTTTTGGAAAACTAGCAGGGGCAGATTCAGTTTATTTTGCTGTTATGTTTCTTCTTTGCTCCAGGTTATATTTGATTTAACTCGCGAGCTGCTACACGCAGAATGTCAGGGCACAGCAAATCCAAATCCTTGTCCATGGCTCCAAGAAAACGTGGGTCCTCGCTGTTCCAGACACATCCGAACAAAAACCGATGTCAGTGAGGTTAAGGTACATCGTGGAACGTGCACCATAATGAAACTCTGAGTGTGTGATGAGTGAAGTGGTGAGGGAACGTACGACAGTCAGGCAAGGAAGGTGGTGGCATGACACTTAAAACAAGTGATGATAGGAGGGGGTTGATCTGAAACGTATGCATAAAAATAGAATAAGGTAGGCAGCTAATCCAAAAATTCCCATAGCACATAGACTTCCAAAGCGATTTGATTATTTATATAATTAAGCTGCAGGCACATTTTCTACTGTCTGGAGGAGTTTTTGTGGTAAAGGAAATGGGAATTGGGCCTCTCAATCTCTTAGTTTTGAAAATCTGAGGTGTACCTCTTAAAGCAGCGTTTCCCAAATTGTGGTCCGCGGCCCAGTACGGGTCCTTAGAAAAAAAATACCGGTCCTCAGAAAATTTTTTGTGCATGATACTTGGGAGAGAGCCCACCGCTGCAGCGTCTCTGCCAGGCATACTCCCGGGTGGCGGGGCTATATCCGGCGGGTGCTAGGACCCAGGGAGAAGGCCGGGCGCCATGCACACCGATGCAGAATGCCTGGCGCCAGATGAAAGCGACTGGGATTGGGGCCGGGAGGGGAGGGAGGGAATAACTTGCCAGACAGGTAGGGCCAGCGACATGCCCCGGGGCAGGATGCGGCCCGCGGTTTCACCCCTGAACGCAGGCGCGACTGGGGGAGAGGACACAGGACTACTCACCCCACCTCCAGGGCCCATAGGAGCCGAGTCACCTGGCAGGCCTGAGAGGGACCTCCTAACCTTACCGGTTCCAAACACGGGTGAAGTAGATACCTTGGGGTTGGGGTTGGGAGACCACCCAAGGCAGTCGACCAGGCCCGCTCCTGTTGGCACTGGGGGCTTTGGGAGGACCAGAAACAATTTATTTGCATATTCATCATTTACTTAATGAATATGCAAATATGCAAATACATGTTACCGGTCCTCCAAAAGCTTGTGAATGGGTTTACTGGTCCCCAGTATCAAAAAGATTGGAAACCACTCTTTTTAAGTATTCTCATTTTGAAAGTGTATTTTTCTGTAAGGATGACCTTAAGCCATCCCATATCATATCCACTAACCTGGGGACATTTCCAGATTTTGAATCTGGATTTCATAGATTAAATCCACATCGCTCATTTGCAACTTCCAAATCAGTGTCAAATCTTATATCCACAGCATCACAGGTCAGCTTTATTATTATTATTTTAAAGTCATTTATTCAGGGAGAAATTGTTAAGATAATGAACTTGGAAAAAAACAGCTTGGAGATGAAGAAGAAGCTCTTTAAAATGACTAAGTATGGAAACTGTAAAAGGGACCGAGTAGATCTGATTCTGGTAAGCGTAATGGAGATGGGCTGTATTGTGTATATATTACATTTGCAATCCTTACTGACGCTTTTCTATATTTAGTTACAATAACTTATTGAGTGGTATGACTCTGCTATCTTTATATTTAAAACAATAATCCAGCATTGGCAAAACACTGAGGCTCAGGTGATTGATCTAAGTGCCTGGTCGAGTGGTTGTTTTCAATGGGAATAGCAGTTCTCAAAAATTCCAGGGTTTTGGCCTTGAATTAGCTTTTCATTCAGATGGAAATGAACTCAGTCTGCTCACATGGCTCAGTCCTGCAAGGTGCTGAGCAGCCAGGCCTTGCACCAGCAAAGAATTGAAACAGATGTTTAACTTGAAGCATGTGACACAGAGGAATTGCTAATGACACAGAGAAATGATACCAAGCTGGGAGGGATTGCGACTAATCTGGAGGATAGGGCCATAATTCAAAATGACCTGAACAAATTGGAGAAATGGTCTGAGGTAAATAGGATGAAGTTTAATAAAGACAAATGCAAAGTGCTCCACTTAGGAAGGAACAATGAGTTTCATACATACAGAATGGGAAGTGACTGTCTGGGAAGGAGTACGGCAGAAAGGGATCTAGGGGTTATAATGGACCACAAGCTGAATATGAGTCAGCAGTGTGATGCTGTTGCAAAGAAAGCAAACATGATTCTGGGCTGCATTAACCTGAGTGTTGTGAGCAAGACACGAGAAGTCATTCTTCCTCTCTACTCTGCGCTGGTTAGGCCTCAGCTGGAGTACTGTGTCCAGTTCTGGGCACCGCATTTCAAGAAAGATGTGGAGAAATTGGAGAGGGTCCAGAGAAGAGCAACGAGAATGATTAAAGGTCTAGAGAACATGACCTATGAGGGAAGGCTGAAGGAACTGGGTTTGTTTAGTTTAGAAAAGATTGAGGCGGGACATGATAGCAGTTTTCAGATATCTAAAAGGGTGTCATAAGGAGGAGGGAGAAAGCTTGTTCATCTTGGCCTCTGAGGATAGAACAAGAAGCAATGGGCTTAAACTGCAGCAAGGGAGGTTTAGGTTGGACATTAGGAAAAAGTTCCTAACTGTCAGGGTAGTCAAACACTGGAATAAATTGCCCAGGGAGGTTGTGGAATCCCCATCTCTGGAGATATTTAAGAGCAGGTTAGGTAAATGTCTATCAGGGATGGTCTAGACAGTATTTGGTCCTGCCATGAGGGCAGGGGACTGGAGTCGATGACTCTCGAGGTCCCTTCCAGTCCTAGTGTTCTATGATTCTATGAATCGAATAGTCGATGCAATCGAATAGTCGATGCAATTAGTTGTTAAGGGCACCTCTGCCTTTGAAATGTAGCAAGAGCCCTAGCGGCTCTTGCTACACTTCAAAGGTGGAAGCATTGCAGGGAGCACGGGGCCAGCGGTGGACTGCTGCTGGTCCCGTGCTCCCTGCTTTTGAAATGTACAAGACTGCTTGAGGTTGCTTGAGTCCCCTGCTGGCCCCGTGCTCCTTGCACAGGCTTTGCTTTTGAAATGTACAAGAGTCCCCTCTGGGACGGCTCTTGTACATATAAAAAGCAGGGAGCGCAGGGCCAGAGGGGGACTGCTTGAGTCCCTTGCTTGCCCCCTGCTCCCGTGGTGCTTCTACTTTTGAAATGTAGCAGAGCGCTTGCTGCATTTCAAAGGTGGACGCACCCCCAGTTCCCAGCTGTGCTCCTGCTTCCCGCCCCTACAGAGATGGCGCTGGGGGGAACTGACTTTTAAGCTGACCCCCCCCTGCACCAGCTCCTGCTCTGCCCCCTTGCTGCCTGTCTCTGAGTATGTCTACACTGCCACTCTAGTTCTAACTAGGGTGGCTAATGTAGGCATTCAAACTTGCAAATGAAGCCCAGGATTTAAATATCCCGGCCTTTATTTGCATGTTCCCGGGTGCCGCCATTTTTAAATGCCCTGTAGTTCGAACTCCCTGCCCGCGGCTACACGCAGCACGGACTAGGTAGCTCAAATTAAAGCTCCTAATTCGAATTACCGTTACTCCTCATTGCAGGAGGAGTTGGAACTAGGGTGGCAGTGTAGACATACCCTGATAGAGGCTGCAAGGTGGGGGAAGTGACTAGTCAAGTCGACTAGTCGCTTACATCCCTAGTGCGAAGGTGCTTTTCTGAATAGGGAACCAACTGTTCAGCACCTTTCAAGATCAAGCCCTGTTTCTTGCTGTAAACGTCATGTCTGTGCTATATTTTTAGATTCAGGAGCTCCATAAGGAAGAAGGCCAGTGGACTGATTATGCTGAGGATGAATTAACTGTCAAGAGGAGAGTCACCGAAGACATTTTTGACAGCTTGGTCCTTGATACAATAGGAGTTCTTAAAAAGATCTCTCTCCAACGAACTTGTGATTAGAGGAAGTTTCCCTTAGAGTCCGTAGCAGTGGAGGTGTTTAGCTCAGCAAGTTTCAAGATAATGGCTCCCTTCCATAAACATATGCTTAAGAATTTTCCTTCTGAACCATGCATCCGAACACCAGCATCTTCTGGCTAAGTTATATGCGTATGTTCACAGTAAAAAGGGTACAAACAGTTGACTTGGAATGAAAAAATAGCCACACCTCCCTTATGCACTGCAGGAGAGGTCTCAGGGCAACCTGTATATATGCTGTTTCAAAAGATCAAGGAAAGGGCCACCTCATCTGTTGCTAGGCAGATCCCATGACTACAAACCTGTACAGAGAGGCATGGAGACTGGAGTAGCAGTAACAGCAGCTACAGATGGGGCTTACCCGCAGCGGTTCACACTGACCCTGGATTGTGGGAGAGGATTTAAATCTCCCTATGCTCCTCCAAGGTCTGCCTCATGACTCATGATTTTCACAGGTGGAACAGATTTCATTCACATTTAGAACCACGGTCCCTGCTCTCTGCACTCGTGTGTCAGCCCTACTGCTCATGTGCCTTAGAACCATGCTGTCCCCTCTGCTGGTTGTGCTAAACCCCCCAATTTCTTGAGGTGTTTAAGATTAAATTGGGGAAAGCAAAATTGCACTGGAGCAAGAACATAGCGCGGTTGGCAAGTGACCAAGCAAGTATATCTGCTTTAGTATCTGTGATCTTATGTAAATAAGACACATACCAATGTCATGTACACTGCGATGCACTTTAAATGGGATGCTTCCTAATGGTATCCCAATTTTAGGAATGATGTATACCTACGAACATAATTAGGTCTTTAGTCTGCATTTAGCATGTGTAAATTTGCTTGAATTATTATAATCCCCCTAAAAAGAAAGTGTGCTGAGCACATACAACTTGCATTTCAATAAACAAAATTGGGAAACTGAAGAAGAAAATGAGGACAATTAGAATGTCTTGATCCAGATAATGTTTCTTTATTTGTCCTGTAATTGTATTTTTTTTTATTTCAGTGAAGACCAATAATTTTGTTACTGTTTTAAGCAAACATTGGCCAGTGGAGAGTAGGGGTCTGATTTGTTTGCAAATGATTTGTTAATTGGTGTTTTATTTAATACCAATATACAGAAACTGTTTATAATGGATGAATTAAATAATTAATCCAGTTGATTTATTCAAATCATATTCAGGGAATCAAGATGATTAATTTAATATAAATTATATACAACTGTTTGTATTTAAGGTATACTATTTAAGATTTGCTATTAATGGACAAGATGTAATGCAAATGTATTTTGGGTTTGTATTTTTAAATATAAATACTTCATATTACAGTTTTCATGCTGATTTGTTAGGCTTCAGAACAACTTAAATAAAACTTTGTCTTTTTTAACTATTTTCATCAAACACTTGAATGGATTGAAGACCACATGTTCATATATTTACAGTATATTATTTTACTAGTTACCCATTTCTATCACAGTAGTGCCCAGGGGCAGCAATAAGAGATGAAAGTCCCATTGTGCTAGGAATTGTACACACCTGAAATGAAAAGAGCTTACACATGTAGGCAGAGATTTGTGCATGTCTAACAGTACAGATTATAGGAAAAACTTTCCTGTTACAGACAACTCAGCTATCCCTCTGAAGCTTTTGTACAGACTATAAGCCTTTTGCCCTCACTGGAACTGGCCCCATTTTATAGTCAAACACGTGTGAAAGTCTTTGCAGATTCTGGCCCTAAGTGAAGCAAAAAGTGGCACAGGCAATTCTGACATTCAGCTGCAATATTAAAAGCTATTCAATTATTCAGATAGTTGTAGTGAAATTAGCATGTGGCACAAGTAGAGGCACTACCACAGCCACACACATTTTAGGTCAGATCCTTAGCCAGTGTAAATCAGCAATGTTGCACTGATGTCAGCAGAGATGTCAAATTATACCAGCTAAGTAGCTAGCTGGACTTTCTTGTGCTTAAATTCTCCTTCTGAGGGTACCACTAATGGAGCTCGCCGTTAAAACTGCCCACGCCCAGGTGTTCACCCCACTGTGTGGATTGCACTGACTCCAAACAAGGCTAAGCAACATGCCACTCTTCTCCAATGTAATGCTACGGTAGACAGTACGGGTATGTCTAGACTACATGCCTCTGCCGACAGAGGCATGTAAAATAGGCTACCCGACATAGTCAATGAAGCGGGGATTGTTGGCACAGCGCGGCAGTCAAGACGTGGATTGGTCGACAGGGAACACCTTTGCCGACTGCTCCTGTAAACCTCATTTCACGAGGCATAAGGGAGCAGATACATTTTGAATCCCATTTTGTACCTCTGCCAGGGATCCTTTTCCCTCAACCAGACTGAGGCAGCCTAGAAGCGAGGTAATGGCAAAATAAATGTGATGGTAACCCAGACTCCTTTCAGTATGACGCTCTGTTCCTTAGCTAGTGACAGCTGGACCTCGGATAGAAGTGGCAGCGCCTGCTACAGCCTGAAGCTATGTGTAGACTGCAGGCTTCTTTCGGAAGAACCTTTTTTTTTGGAAGAGATCTTCCCAAAAAACTTCTTCCGAAAGAGAGCGTTCACACACAAAAGCGCATCGAGAAAGCGATCTGCTTTTTTGAAATTAGTGTCCACACTGAATGGATGCTATCTCACATTTCAGCTGTGATTACTAGGGACGGAGTTGCCACCAGGGCACCTGTGCTTTTTTCTCTTTCCTCTTCTTCCAAAAGAACTCCCTCTTCCCCGTCCACACACGCCTTTTTCTGAAAGAGCTCTTTCGGAAAAAGGCTTCTTCCTCGTTGAAAGAGGATTACCAACACCATAAAACCCCCTGTGTGATTGCAGTGTGGACATAACTAACGTTTTGTGGGAAAAACAGCCGTTTTTCCGACAAAACTCTGTAGTGTGGGCATACCCTTAGCTTTCAGTACTGGATCTTTTAACTGAGATAGGCTCATGCTTTGAATTCCCAGGTTTACTCCCTGAGGCCAGTGACCCACCCAGGGTGCACTGTTACATGCCCTCTGCCTTGTTGGGGAAGTTAACTTTCCTATTTTTATCCTCATGATAATTTAGCTCTTTGTTCCAACACCAATCTTGGAGCTCCATTCAGCAATTTTATTTACAGTGTCACAGAATCATTCTATCCCTCTGCCAGTTAGAGAACTCTCCCTTTGCCCTAGTCAGTGCTCGTTGGCTACCTCCTTCCTTTCCTCCCCAAGCACTTCCTTCCTGTGCTCTTTTTAAACTACTTGCTTATTAATAGGCTAATTCACTCTTTAACTTCCTAACCCCAGTCTAGCCTCATACTCAGGCACATCCCTGACCAGGTAGACTGTCTTGGGGAGAACCTAATTGGTGCTAATAGTGACCAGAGTGCTAGCTCAAACTCCATCTTTCAGCACTCTGTCCCAGTCAGCTAGATGGGTTATGAACTCAACGTTTGCCCCTGCCTTGGGCTTACAGATGGGTTGTTGGATACAGTAACACATCTGAATGTTGAAGCACCAGAGGTTTCTCAAAGTTTATTTTCTTATTATTTAGTACCAGCATTACCAACAGCATTCCGGTTATGGATGCTAGTAATAAAGAACTCTTTCTGAGTATAATGTATATATTGAATGAGTGCCTCAAGGGTGTGGTTTATTTGAGAGTATTCAGAGTACAGGGCTGTATGTTTCACTTGAGAGAGATGACCATTAAGGCAGCAATCAGGAACCTAAGTGATGCCTGAACCTTTTCAGCATGACTATATATAGAAGAAGGACAAAGCTATAAAGTAACTGCTGCTTGATGGGAATAAAAAGTTTATACACAGAACATGTCAGACATGTTTAATATCCTTCACCATTATGTGTACAAAGCCTTAGACTTTGGCACCCAGATATATTGACCTGTTCAGGCAGTGGTAAGACTTCAATATCAAGATTACTCTATTTCAAGGTCTAATATTTTGCTTGCCTTGGTTTTGATCAATATTAACCTCCTGGGTCAATAAATCTTGATACTAGCCTCAAGAGAAGTCATTATCTTTCATAGAAAATGATTATTTCTCAGTTAAACCCTACATTTAATTTTCCTGTAATCCATCTCTTTCAGTCTCATGCGTTTAACAATTCTTCTTCTGAACACAATGCACTCTAAAATATCTTGAACATTGCCTAGTTCAAATTCCTCATTAGCAGTAACTATGAGATTTTGAATCCTTTGATTTATTAAGACTCCCCTATTGAAACATTCTCATTTTGTTGCATTGGGTATACAATAAAAATAGAGACATAAAATTTTTGGATCAAATTAAAAGATGACAAAGAATGGCATAAGTTACAATTCTCTGATGAGCAGGTGTAAAAGAATCTAGACTGTTAAGGGGTGGGAAAGAGGTGAGTAACAGGTAAAACAATTAACAGGCGAGTGGAGGATAAATCAAGGGGTGATACCAGCATTTATATTACCCCTGAATTTGGCTGCTGGATATTTATAGTGCAACATCTAAAAATGACTATTATGTAGCAAAAAGGGCTTTACGGAAGTTTGTTGTCAAAATTAGATCTAACAAGTTGCAAAAAAGTATTTGAAATCCCAGAACTTTTAGTCATTTCTGTTCAAGTGATGGTGAAACTTCAGTGTTGAATAATGTTTAACCTCCAATCAGTCCATAATGCCATTCTCCACTGTCCACCTTAATGCTTTCTCCTATGCTGTCCCTCATGCTAGAGAGAAACTCCTTGTAAATATCTGCAAAACTAACTTCCTTTAAATCTTTCCTTACATTCTCCTTTGTAAAAAATCATAAAAAATCAAAAAAATTAAATAAAGCCTAGACAAAAATGGACAAGAGTTAGGCAGCTGGTATACTGAGACTTCTGCCTACTATGCTGATCAACATAATCTTATTGTTTCCTGTACTCCTCATTGGTCCACCTGTATCCATATGTTGTCTCCTGTTTTATACTTAGATTGTAAGCTCTTTGGAGGAAGGGACTATCTTTATTCTATTTGTACAGCACCTGGTACAATGGGGCCCTGGTCGAGGAGTAGGGCGCTGAGGCATTTAAATAGCAAATAATAATAATCATGTAAAAAACAGTTGCAAATATGCACAAAGAATTTCTTCATATCACAAAGAATTTCTTTTGATCTGAGGAAGTGGGTCTGGCCCACGAAAGCTCATCATCTAATAAACCATCCTGTTAGTCTTTAAAGTGCTACATTGTCCTGCATTTTGCCACAAAGAATTTGTGACTGGACTGAGTCACAAGCCCTGTGTCTACACAAGCTGTCCATTATTTCAAAATATTTTTCAAAATAACAGGTACGCTATTTCATTATTGGACGAGGGATAAGGAATGGCTCGAAATAGTGCATCATTTTGAAAATTTGGCACTGTGTACATGTGCCAAATTTCACAATAAGCTATTTCAAAATAGATTTGAAATAAGATACGCAATTTGCACTATGCAAATTGCATATCTTATTTTGAGTTTAGGGTGCTGTGTAGACGTAGCCCTAGGCTTGGCTATCCAGGGAAATTGATCAGCTACACCACAGAGGTAAAATTATACCTCTTCAGGTATTGCCCTGCCCCCGTTTGGACACTGTTCTGAAGTAAACATCACTTTATTCTAGAATAGTGTGTCCACATGAGGAGTTACACCATTATAATTATACCACTACAATTCTGCCAGTCAGTTTCCCCATGTAGACAAGCCCTCAGGCTTCTGGAGCAAGCTGCAGAAAAGATCGTTTTACTGCAGAGTCAGTCCTATCCATCGTTTTCCAGCATCTGCACAACTTGCAGAGACATACATTTTCAGCCACATTATTCCCTCTTCTTTCATCTGGTCCATTTTGCTTCACTTTTTTGCAGCAGTGAAAGTACATTCCCTGACCCAAGTATTCAGTCAACGGGTATCTGTCTGAATGCTTTTGGTTTGGTGAATGCAAACAGACAACCCAACTCTACTAAACATTCATGATTAGTGTAATTGCTACTCAGTATAAATAAAATCAGCAGAATCTGTTCATGTGGTCTCATTCTCAGATCAGCATTATTTGGTTGCGTTGTGTTATGTATTCGTAAGGTTTTAATCCCTGCAATAGACTTTCTGAGAGTGTTTACATCAGTGTAAATGCAGAGTGAATTATCATGGAAGTAGGTACCATCTTCTGAATTTACACTGGTGTAATTGAAATAAGCAACTGGCTGCATATGTTTACCATTTTATCTTGTAGTGTTTATAGGTGAGGCTGTAAAAAGCAAAAGCAAGAATTAATTGTGTTTTGGGTGACTTTATTCTTTATTTGAATCTATGAGAGTTCTTACAGTCTTTTGAACTCTTCCTCTGGGGAACACTCTCTCTT